TGCCAGGGGCTTAAGTGGAGAGCAAATGTTTTAAGAATGATGAGGGCAATGAATGTACAAATGTGCTTTACACAATTGATGTAAGTATGGATTGTGATAAGAGTTGTATGAGTCCCTAATAGAATGATTAAAAAAAACCTCAGCTTATACTTGAGTACATATGTATTTTCAGCTGGCATAAAACCAATTTTATCACATGATAAAATATCATTCACCATTTCCTAATTGTACTAATAAAATTTTATACTTCAAGATACCACAAATAAATGAATTTTAAATTTAGGCATCAAAAACCTTTAAAGCTTTATAATACTCTAATTTAACAGTGAACATTTATTGAGTGCTTGCTTTCAAAGCATTTTATTTGCATTTTATCCTTTAATCTTAAGGAAGGTATTATTATGTCAAACTTGCAGATAAGGAAGCTGACCTTTAGAGACATAAAATAACAAGCCAAAGGTTATACTTAAAGGAACTAGTAGTTGGGCCTGAAATCTAGGTACATTTCAAGCCTATAAAATAGTAAACCATACTTTTGTTTTTATAAGTAGTTGAAAATATTACCATTTTTGTATAAGAAAACAACTCCCACATGGAGAGGGGAGTCAGTGGAGTGGCCTGAGGGCTCAGCTCCCATATCAGGTACATGGACAACGGCCCCTCCCCCCAGAAGAATTTACTTTAGAGGAAGGCACTGAAGCTGCAGCTAGGGAAGAGAGACATGTCTGATCAGAGCACACTGGAGCAAATGAATGGGGAAAAGAGAGAGAGTGGAGCACATACTGGCCCACCAGACCTGGAGGACAATCTCCCCGCTCCGAACAGCCAATGCACAGAGTGGACCATAAGTCTGATCCCACTATGTGACACCATGTCCCTCGCTGACTCCATGGCCCTATGGGGGACAACACTGGAGACTCAGTGGTGGGATTGGCCAGGACTGACCCTGTGACACGGAAGCAAAACACTGAAGGTGTGTAGCAGAGCAGGGAGTTCCCAAGAGAGTGCAAAGGACAGACTCGGGGGCCAGAGCTGACACCCCATCGGACTTGATAGGAGGACACGCCTAGAGGTCAAAAATCAGACCTTGATCTATTTACAGGTTTTACTTTTTTTCAAATTAAAAGTTTTTTTCTTTTTCTTTTATTAAAATTAATTTATTATTTTATGGGTCATTTTTAAAAATTGTCATCGTTGTGTTCTCTTTTGTCACTTTATCTTGCTATGCCTTGCTTTTTTGGATTTATATTATTATATCTGCAGATTGGGCTGGATGAACAGTCTGGAGGAGAAAACAACGGGACTGATAGTTCTGGGGGGGCCGGGGAGAGGCGAGGCAGGGCTAAGGAGGTGGTGTTGACCAACTCAGGGATAAGGGAGCAACAAGTGATCCAAAATTAGTGGCAAGGAGTGTGTGAGAGGCCTGGTAAGGGAAATGTAATCGAGAGAAATTACTGAAACCCAAATGAAGGCTGAGCATGATAGCGGGACAAGAGGAAAGTAAAAGGAAATAGAGGAAAGAACTAGGAGACAAAGGGTATTTATAGAGG